CCCGCCCCCCAGAGTCTTCTAACAGGAATACCATGTGAATTCTGCTGAAATGCTCTTGATGTGTATAAATGATAGAGGGGAAATAAAGCTTAGGCTCAGGCTAGGACATCACCTTCTACTCTACCCTGTATCAACCAGAAATGTGCCAAAGTACTTTGTAAAACATTAAAGTATTATGTATGTATCAGTTATTAAGGTTTCTCCATTATACAACCTTTGTAAATCCTAAGACTGTTTTATTGATCCTGGTAATCCTAGAAACACGGTGGTGTATTTTTTCAAATTAGGACTCAGGAACCCTAATTCCTGACTCATTTCTGTCCTTAATTGACTATGTAATCTTTGTTGTGTTTGCTTCTCTAAAAAGTATTCACAATCCAAGAGGAATTGTTTTCCCAAGTTCAAAATTAAAATAGTGCCTAAGGCATTTGACTGCTAACCAGAAGGATGGCTGTTCAAACCTACCAGCCACTCCTTGGAAGGAATATTGGGCAATCTACTTCCATGGAGATACCAACTCTGAAACCTAAGGAGGGGTCGCTATGAGTTGGAATTGACTCGATGGCAGTGAGTTTAGTTTTTTTCTACTAGTGTTTCTCTTCTAAAAACACAGAATCTTGGACTCTTCCCTAAAACAGCAGAATCATGGGCTCTACTTGCTAAATCTGATTTTCTATACATTGTTGTTGTTATGTGCCGTTGAGTCGAACCTGACTCATAGCAACCTCTCCTTGGGTTTCCAAGATGGTATTACCATGGAAGTAGATTGCTCAACCCTCCTTCTGAGGAGTGGCCAGTGGGTTTGAACTGGCAGCCTCTGGTTAGCAGTCAAGTGGAGGGCCAGTAGACTGTACAGTGCACTCTTGATTTTGCTAAGAATATACTATGAAAAAAAAAAGTCAGAATCAAATGAGCAAAAGACCTGTGCAATCATATTTTTAAGTAAGTAACCTCACCAATTTTACTACATAAAATTTTTAAAAGATTTCTTGCGGCAAAGCAAGACCATACACACAAAGCTAAGGGAGACAATAGCAAGATGTATTTTCCATGACTGAACATCATACGTGCTTTACATTCCTTCTTTCCAACATGAGTAAAACGTATCAAAGAAATGCAAAGTTTTCTTTTTGAGATCGGCTCACAAAAAACAAGCCCTGTGATATTGGCTTTGTTTTCTGTTTTCATTCTTTTCCCTCTGAGATGTGGCTCTCTATGTCTCCAGACCATTCTGCAAGGTTGTGGCAGCCAGATGGATATTTTTGGGACTCGAAGTCCGTCTGGAGCGAGATAAGGTTCCAGGATCTCACTGTGCCCTTTCACAAAACAGGTTAAATCCATTCCCCTCTGGTGGCATAATGCCTAGGACACTTGACTGCTAACCAGAAGACTGGTGGTTCAAACCCACCAGCCACTCCTTGGAAGGACGATGGGGCGATCTACTCTCCATAGTGATACTGCGTCGGAAACCCAAGGAGGGGTCAACTATGAGTTGGATCCGACTTGAGAGCAGTGAGTTTTGGTGCTCAGGATCCCTGGTGGCACAGTGGTTAAAGCATTCATCTGCTAACCAAAAGGTCGGTAGTTTGAACCCACCAGCTGCTCTACATGGCTTCCGTAAAGATTTACAGCCTTTGGAACTCAATGGGGCAGTTTTATTCTGTCCTACGGAATCTATGTGTTGGAATCTACTCAACGGTGGGTTTGGTTTTTTTGGGTATGATGCTCAGAGGGGTGGGGCTCAGGCAGGATGTAGACTGGCCTCCCAAGCCACATGCCTCTCCAGGGTGGGACTGACCTTGGTGGCTCTGCTTCAGCCTGCAGAAGGCACTGAGACCACCTAGGCCAATGGCCAGGCTGTCCTGGACAGAAATTCCTGGAGGAGGAGAACTGTCCCTGCTGCAGGTAGGAGCACTTTGCCTTTCCCTCTTTTTCCCTTTCTCTTTTGGGGAGGAGATGAAGCTCCAAAGCTTCCTAACTGAAAACATTGGTTGTAATACAAGCAGTTGTCTGATCTGAGTCTGACCAGGTAACTTGGGGTTGAATCAAAGGGGCGGCCCCTTCTCTTAGAGTCTAGTGAAGTCCCTCATCACAGTCTGGTATCTTTATCACATGGCACAGTGCCTCAGGCATTTGACTGCTAACCAGAAGGCTGGTGGTTCAAACCCACCAGCCAGCTACTCCGCATAAGGAAGATAGGGCTGTCTACTTCCATAAAGATTTACCACCCCAGAAAACCAGTGGGGGTCGCTATGAGTTGGAACTGACTCGATGGCAATGAGTTTGGTGTTTTGGTTTAAGCAGTGACTTTTCTGGCCAATTTCAGAACAGAAAGCATTGAGTGACTAGGGCCCTGGAGAGAGAGCCCTCTGTTAACCAGCATCCCCAGGCTGTTAGGGGACAGTGCTTAAGAGGGGGAGTCCCTTTGGAGAGGCAGTATGGAAGTTTGGGGGCCTTGTAAACTGCTCAGGCCCAGCCAGCAGAAGGTATGTTGATGACTGCCAGAAAACAGTCACCATGTCTCTGGTGACCATGGAATCACATAGCTCAGATATCTCCTCAAAAGCAGCTCTGGATCTACCCTGACGTTCATGCTAAGGCCATATTTTCTCAAGATTGCTCATACACGTGGCTGAGCATAGCTGGGCCCCTGCCACCCGGCCATTTCTGATTGATGGGAAACTCCTTTAATCTTTGTTTGGCGAGTCCCTTTGGCCTGGACAATACTTTCTCATTACTGCTCTGTGGTCTGAGGCTCTTCCTGCCCCATACTCCTTCCTTCCCTTTCTCCTTTCACAGATGTCAGATGCACATTGTGGTCTGAAGACTCTCACCATTTCCTCCTGCTCTCTCCCCCTTTATCTTTCATAGGTGTTTCCCCAATAAATCTCTTGCATATCTATCTTGTCTTGATGTCTGCTTCTAGGAGAACCTGAACTGCACACAGGGTCAGGGTACTTTCCCAGATGGCATTTCAAATTCAACATTTATCCATAACCAAAAACCAAACCCACTGCCACCAACTCCATGCCAACTCATAGTGACACCCGTTGGGTTTCCAAGGCTGTAAATCTTTATGGAAGTAGATTGCCTCATTTTCGGGCCATAGAGCAGTTACTGGGTTTAAACTGCTGACCTTCTGGTTAACAGCCAAATGTCTTACCCACTAAGCTACCAGAGCTCCTTAACATTTATCTATATGTATAGTATTTATTTTCAGATAGCATAGTATAGTAGTTAAGAGCTTAACTAACTGGGTTCAAATCCCAGGTCAGCCACCTTTTGTGAAATGGGAATAATCACATTACTTCACCTTAGAGTTGTCATGAGGTTTATGTAATTATAAACCACTTAGAATACTGTCTGACACATAGTAAATAACTAAAAAATACTATCTATTTTTACTATCTTTGCTAGATGAAGTTGGAAGACAGGAAATGATTTTACCAGGCCCCAATCTAAAGTTCTGGAGCTCTAAGAACATATGCTTTATTGGTTTCTTACCTAGAAGCTAAAATCAAGGGTCAGGAAAACACATGAAATAGTTAAGTGGCATGATGACTGTTTACCCCTACCTTAAACTCCATTGGGTGGGTAACACCAAAGACGAAAATGGTATGATATTATTGTTCCTTTTCCTATACTCTATCCATCAGATTACTCATTCTGGATGACAGAAATGGCTGTATTTTTTTCCTTTTCTGTTATGTTTATGGTAGAGGATGTCAAAAGCATGTATTTCAAGGAAGGGAAGAAGTAGGGTGGGAAGGGACCTGACATTTGCTGAGTGCCCATTAGGGACCAGATGCAGTGTTTGGTGTTTATGTTGGTTCTCTTTAATTCCCATGGCAATCATGTCAGGCCTTGTTTCCCTTAAATGATGAAGAAACGGAACTGAAAGGTGGAGTATACTTTCCAAGACCTCCTATTGAAAATTTTAATTACAAAGGAAGTATTTCTTGAGTGTCATGTCACAATTGTCTCCTAGTGGATAGTCTGTAGAACTCATCTAATTGGCCAGGCCCTAGATCCCACAGAGGACATGAGGAGGAGGGTCTCTCAAAGCCTGCTCAACTGGTCACCTGTCAGTCGCCAATGCAAAGCTTGAGTCATCTGACACAGGAATTCAGCTCTCTGAATATTCACAAAGACATGAAGTCCAAAAATTATTGTATTCATTGTGTACACATTTATTAAGCAACTTCTATGTGGTAAGTACTAGATTTCAAGAGATCTGGTAATTAGGTAGTTATCAGTAGAACGCATGGAATTATCAAAACTCCTTTCTTCTTTCCACTGGTTCCTTCTGTCACTCATTTGTGGCTGCACCTTAACCAGAACAAGCCAGGATTTGAGAAAGAATGAGACATATGATGGGTCTAGTCACCACATTATGTATACTAAGATCACAGCGAGGCTACCTTAGACCTAGTTGGGTTCTGCTACTCTGATAGATAAACTGACTAGACATCTGAAGTCATGTTCAAGTGAATAATTTACTAGCACCCATTGCAATGAGGCAGGAGAAGGGATATTAATATTCTCATGACTTACTATGAAAACTTCACATTTTAGGGACATTAAGTCTCTTTTATATGTTATGACTATTGTGTTACCTGTCTAGTACCTTTCATGTTTTACCATATGAAGGCTGGCAGTTCAAACCCACCAGCCACTCCTTGGAAGGAAGGTTGGGCAATCTATTTCCGTAGTACCACCTCAGAAACCCAAGGAAGAGTCACCATGAGTCAGATCCGACTTGATGGCAGTGTTTGGTTTTTTGGATATTCAAATCTACTCAACTTTCCCTTTCAGTAGTCTGATATTTAGGAAGATCATCTCTGAGCAGAAAGATGATAAAATCTTCATTTAGGTAAGTAATTTTATGGATTCACTTATGAAATGTAAATCAGTACTTTTAGAGTATACTATGGAGTAAGATATAACGTGAAAAATCTAGTATTTTCCCCCAACGCCTTTCTTGAGAAATCCATTTTCACCACTAGTTTTAATGCTCCCTTTTAGAATAAGTATTATATTAAATAAAATAGATGGATATTTCCATTCTCTTCCTCTGATCTATTTTGATGCAAAAAATAAAATGCTTGTATTACAAATTATACTATCTGGAAACCCCATTTTAATCTTTTTCAGAATTTTCTGTTTTCATTAATCACTTAAAAATAAGCTGGTTTTATTAGGCTTGAATTAATAATTTGAGGCAAAAAGTGCTTAGAGAACCATGTGTATAATCAGATCCCAATTTTGTTAAAATAATATTGTGTGATCTTTATTATAAATACATGTATATATATATATATATATATATATATATATTTCTAAGAATATACAGCAAAATAAGTATGGCTATCTGAGATATTTGTGTTGTGGTTATCTTCCATTCATCCCCCTGATCCACTTTTCTTCCTGTTTTATGTCCCTGAGTTTTACTAATATGGATTACATCAAATGTCTTCCTTACCCTCTGGCTTCCAGTTTGGCCAAAGGGAAACATCAGGTAGGAGATATGAAGGAGAGAAGAAAGTGAAGTCATATATTTTTCTTCCATCCAGTGATACATACTCACTCCCTTCCCTTGCCCCACACTTCTCCATCCTTTCACCCCAATCCCTTGTCCCGCCCATTGCCCTACTTCCTCTTCTCCCTTGCTACTACTCTCCTTTACCTAGGGGTAGTAACAAGACACCTCCCCCCACAACATGGAAAAAAATTCTTTATTAAATCTCCTTAAATCATACATTTTGAGTACCAATCTTTTTGCTCTTGGGACTCTGACCAATCCAGTGGGATTATATACGACTCTTATTTCTAAGTTGTTCTTGCTCTATTTCCCAAAATTTCTATAACCAGAGTATTTTCACAAAAGTGAGAAGCACTGTCGTGAAAAAAACTTGGCTTGACTTGGAAATTCCCACATAAGAGAGGGTTTATAAACAGGCATCTAACACCATCCTCTTTCACAGATCTCCTAGCCTAGGATTCCCAATGTTATGTTCAAGGGATTATAAAAGGAGAGGGAAAATGACATAAGTGATCAAACTACGAAAGGTTACCATCCTTGGCCAAAAACCTACAGGGATTTCTGAGAGATGTAATATGTAAGGTGGTTGCCCGTATTTCTTCATTTCTTCTGGTGGGAAAAAGCAAAACTCTGCATAAGTATAAGGGACTGTTATTAAAAAAAAAAAACCCAAAACCCCACTGCTGTCAAGTCAATTGACTCAGCGACCCTACAGAACAGAAAAAAAACTGCCCTACTCATCCTTCTCCTGTAGAGTGGCAGAAGCGGCTGGTGGGTGTGAACCTCCAACCTTTCTGGTTAGGAGTTCAGCACTTTAATCAATCACTGTGCTACCAGGGTTCCTCAAGCACTATTATAATACCCAATTAAATGTCTCATTATGCCAACCAAATTCATAAGGGTAAGAGTAAGAGGTACCTGGGACAAAATTGGCTCTTACAAGCAGAACTAGAAAGCAGTCCCACCCTGAGTAACCACACTGAAAGGGGAGAAGGGAACTGGCCTGGCAGGACATAGTCCTGGCTGCCACACCTAACATGGAAAAGGAATTCTTTCATTCGAGCCAGAGTTCTCTGCTGGGATTCCCCCCTAGATCCTTCCTGAGTCTGCTGACTTAATCAACCACAGTTAACATTAAAGGGACACTGCAAGTGGTTTGCTTTGAAATTTAGAAACAAATTTTATTTAAGATCTGAAATACAATTCCTAAAATATCAACTTTTCAGAAAACCGCGGCTACACAATGCATTGCCTCTATCATGTTAGAATGTGTATTAGACTCAAATACAAAAACCATGAAACAAATCACCATCCTTCAACAATTTGAGCAAAGATAGAATGCCTAAGGAACAACATAGATGACTTGCAGAGGATGGGCTGTTTTACTTCAAGCACCATTAAAAAAAAAAAAAGAGCACAAATGCATGGGTTTTCAGGTATATACATTAAGTTGAACCTTTGGCACTAGGAATCAGGGCATTTTGTCACATAGCATTAACACATATTAGAAAATTGTGTAGTGTCAAAGGGATAGAACCACCAGCATTCAAGCAATGTTGTCAACTAGGCAATAAAATGTTCTACTGAATGTTTCTTCTTTGTCTAATTACTGCATACACTGGTAGCAACTTCGAAATGAGAAAAGGAGCTTACACTCCTTTTACTTTCTGTTTGAAACAAACAGAAAAAAAGTTAAACATGAGCCCTGTGATACATTAACAATTTTAGAGAACATCAATTATACAAGAAAAAGACTAAGAACAAAAAGAAAAGTGTTTACAGATATCCAGACATAACAGTGAGTGGTCAGTAGACCCTCACAGGGCTTTGCGATGGTACTCAGCTGAAGCCACTTTGTAATCGCTGGCAGTAAACAGGGCTGCAGAATTCTTTGCCAGATATTTTAGGAAATCATGCAAATAGCCCAACAATAATGCCAAGCTTTTCTCATCAAGGGGTGTATAGGCCAACATTGCTCCAATTCTTACAAACAATCTCAGTAAGTGTGGTGCTCCATAAACCTGGGACATAGGTGCATCAGGGTGAGCCATGAGGATTTCAGCATACTGGGGCCTCTCAAATTTATAGAGCAGCTGAGTGCCCAACATCACATTGAAATACTCTTTTATTCCCCCCACAACTTCATTAACCGCATATTCCTTATTGTCGACGTTTCCTTGAGATCTCTTGCAATTTGCGTACTCTTCCAGAATGGCATCTACGTTTTTCTTAGCCGGGAGCTGAAACAGCTGCTTCTGCCTGGTAACTAAGTCCCAGTCCTCAACAAGCCATGGTTTTAATTCTTCAGGAATCTTCACCTTCACCTCCACCCTATTCTTAAATGCCTCCTCACTTTCAACAGTAGGATCTGCCCGGGCCCTTTTCTTCCGAGGTGGCTGAGGTGCTTCACTGGTACTTCCACCATCTCCATTTCCAGGAGTCTTCTGTTTGTTCTTTCTTGTCTTCCTCACGGATCCTGAAGGGGGGTTCTCTGCAGAGCGACCCCCCCATCTGCCTGGAAGAGCTGGCTCCAGATTCTTCTGCTGAGGACCAGCCGTCTTCTTTCCGGAGGAGGCCCCTCTCATCTTACTTCTCTGCATGTTGCTTCTTGTTGGCTTTTTGAAGTTGTCTTCTTCTGCAGATTGTTGTCCACGAGTTTGAGAACCCTGCTTTCTGGAACTCATTCAACCCTGTTTTTATTCCAACCACTGAAATATATAAAGTATTTTATTTGGTTGTTTTCTATGGCAGCCTTTAACACAGTATGCTTCATCAAGGCACATCCAAGCACAACACACACGCTCTTGGAATTTGGACTTCAAATCCTATTGCAGGACCATTTATTAGTGACTTTCTACCTCCCCCATCCTTATTATCTATTATCCTTATCCCTCCCAACTACTCATCAGATCTGCCCATAAATTATTTTTTCTAAGAGATATTAATATGTAAGGTTGTTGCCCTTATTTCCTCTGGACAGAAATATAATTTCAGAGAAACAATAAAATGAGAAAGTATAAAAGGCAGTGGAGTTGAAAGTCAAGGCTTTTGAACAGATGAAAGAAATAAGGAAGATTTTTTTTTAGTTGATTGAAGGCAAACCGAGCAACAGTAAAGGCTCTAAGTGCAGGTAGGTGATGATAAAGGTCTGAACTAGGGTGATGACAAAGTCAAGAGAAACTGCAGAATACAGAACTTGGTAACTGAAAGAGAGGGAGGAGTCAAAGCTGGCTTTGAAATTTCAAGTCTGGGTAACTAATAAATTAATAAAAAAACACTGATTTTTTTAAGTGTTAGCTTAGCATCAGCAATAAAAATAATAGAACAGAGGTAATTCATCCATTCATTAATGCAGTCAGTCATCTGTTTCAGGTACTAGGCTGATGTCTAAAGTGATAATTCTAAATCAAGGTTAGTACAAGGATAGCTATACACAGAGTATTATGGAAGCTAAAACTAGTTTTACAAGAGATGATATATGACACCACCTTCAGTGATAGCTTATTTGAGGAGGTGATAAATTGGTGAGGGAGAAGTTGATGATTCCCAGGTTTTGAGGATGGGTGACTAGGACTTTAGTATCATTACCAAATGAAATTGTATCCAGAAGAAATGAAATGGATTAGAGGGAAAAGATAATCTGTGTTGGACCTATTAAGTGTGAGAGGTGCAGTTATACTGTAAGGCTCAGGTGAGAAGTCAGAGCCAGAATTGGAGATCTGAGAATAACCATTATATTGCTGGTAGTGGAAACTATGAGTTAAATAAATAACACAGGGAGAATAGAGGGGGAAAAAAATGAGCCAAGTATGGAGTTCTGGAAAACCTAGGGAAGACAGATATTTAAGGAATGAACAAAGAAAGAGAGCAAAAACAACAACAACAAAAAAATAGAGTAGCCATAGGAAAATGGTATTTTGGAAGCCAAAGTAGTTGAAAGTTTCAATAAGTAAAAAGGGTAATCTATAGTGTAAACCACAGCAAAGAGGGCTAATATGATATATATAGGAAAAGTGTTCTAGTACCCTCATGGTGTGACAGGTGAAACAATTCCTGACTTACATAATCTTCTTCCTTCTTCCCCTTCTAAGAACTCCTAGTGCTTTCTCAGATGGAATCTTATAAGATCTTCAGAGATGGTCTACAAGGATGAAGTGGGTATCTGCAATGAAAAGTAACTTCTGTGAAACAATACAGAAAATAACAATATAGGATTTTATGTAATTATATATGAATAATACATAATTTGATAAACAAATGAGGTATCAGAGAAAACATGAGTCTGTTGTCACACAGACATGTAATTTGATTAGGCTCCACCATTTTTAAGCTATGAGACCTTGGGCACGTATTTAAGCTCTCTTCGCCTGTGTTCTCATCTACAGAATGTGGTTAGTTATCCTCACCCTTCACAGGTTTTTATAAGAATTTACTGTGTGCAGGAATACCGCCACATGTGAACATGCAAAGATGTTTACTGCAGTGGTGTTTGTAATATTTAAAACTGGAAATACCTAAATATTCTTCAATAGTGAAATGGCACTACAAATTATTACATATGCACATTATGGAAGAATGTACAGCCACTGAAATGAATTAAACAGATTTATGTACTAACATGGAAAGATGTGCTATAACCAAAAACCCAAACCCATTGCCACAGAGTTGATTCTGACTCATAGTGACCCTACAGGACATAGAACTGCCCCATAGTTTCCAAAGCTGTAAATGTTTACGGAAGCAGACTGCCACATCTTTCTTTCTCTCATGGAGTGACTGGTGAGTTTGAACTGCCAACCTTTCGGTTTGCAGCTGAGCACATAACCACTGTATCACGAGAGCTCCTTTTGGGATACGTAACACAGGTGTAGAAATGAGGAGGAACCTGTTCTTAAGAACATGTGATCCAATTTTTGTGTTTTAAACTAGGGTGTATAAATGTGCAAGAAAATGACTAGGTGGATAAATTTCAGATTAAGGTAACAGGGTTTACCTCTTACAAGGAGTACCTGGGTGGCACATATGGTTAAGCACTCAACTAGCCCAAAGATTGGCAGTTAGAACCTATCTGGAAGTGTCTTAGAATTCAAGTGTGGCAACCTGCTTGTGAAAGGTCACAGCCTTGAAAACCCTACAGAACAGTTCTAACTCTACATACACATACCTGAGGTCACCATGAGTAGAGATTGACTAAACAGCACTACAACCTCTTGGAAAGGGAACAAAAAGGAGATGATTCTGGACCAACCTTTAACTGAATTTCTCTGATAACTACAACTTTCAACCATACACCCACACACAAAATTCTTCAATCTCTACCCCTTAAGACTATGTGCCAGGTTTCAGGAAAGCCCTGTCATTTCCGACTCATAGCAACCCCTCCTTGGGTTTCTGAGGTAGTTATCTCCAAGAAGTAGATTGCCCAATCTTCCTCCCAAGGAGTGGCTGGTGGGTTTGAACCGCCAGCCCTCTGGTTAGCAGCCAAATGCTTTAGGCACTATGCCACCAGAACTCCCAAGGTGGGAATACCAAAACCAAAAACCAAACTCGTTGGCATCGAATCAATGTCAACTCAGTGACCCCACTGAGTTCCCAAGGCTGTAAATCTTTACTGAAGCATCTTTCTTCTGCAGAGTAGCTGGTGAGTTTGAACCACCCACCTTCTGGTTAGGAGCTAAATGCCTTAACCACTACACCACTGGAGAGGGGGGAATAGGAGACAAAAACTTGAAAACTGGAATGCTGAATTAAGGAAGCCAGTTATTGGAAAGAGAGGCCTGGGTACTGGTACTTTCACCAAGCAAATACTGTCCTTTAACTGAAAAGGGCACAAATCTGAGCAGGAATTAAAGGGCAAAGCCAGTCTTCAGCATCAAAATCTGAGACGGAGCCTGACTCAAGAATCAGAAACCTTCTAGCTCTCAGGGGTATGCAGAGATCCCTGCTAAAAGCCTTGCATTATCGTGGGGCTATCTGCATGATTTCCTAGGATCTGTGAGGGAACAGCGTGACAGCGGATAGTGGGTCATGGTATTATATTGTAAGCTATCATGCTTACAAAACAATTTAAAATAAAAAAAGAAATTCATTGAGACTAGGACAGAGGTGAAAAGTCTTTTAAGATTAACAGAGAATTCAGTCAAGTGATAGGAAAGTCAGAAAATCCATTATTGGGCTAATACAGTGCAGAGGTTCCACAAAATAAGACAGTAAGTAAAATACCAACTAAGGTAAGCAAGATGACTCGATGCAGACCAGACTGGGTATAATATGTAATAGTAGTGCCAGGTTGGACAAGAACTATTTTGGAAGCCACATTGGTTACTAACATTTCCTTAGTGAGGAGGAACCAGAGAATGATAAGTGAACCTGTTTACCCTTGGTACTGACTGCATGTATCCATACAGAATGAGCTCTAGTGGCGCAGTGCCTAAGGCATTTGACCAGAAGGTTGGCAGTTCAAACCCACCAGCCACTCTGCAGAAAGAAGACTGGGCAATCTACTTCCATAAAGATTTACCACCTCTAGTTACTAACGTAGGAGCTCTGGTAGCATAGTGCCTAAGACCCTTGACTGCTAACCAGAAGGCTGGGGGTTCAAACCTACCTCCTTGGAAAGAAGGTTGGGCAATCTACTTCTGTAGTGATACTGCCTCGAAAACCCAAGGAGGGTCGCTATGAATCGGGTCTGACTCAACAGCACATAACAGTTACTGACGTTTCCTTAGTGAGGAGGAACCTGGGAATAATAGGTGAACCTGCTATTTATCCTTGGTACTGATTACATATATTCGTAAAGAATAAAACTACAGAATTTTACCTGGTTCTCATTAGAAGGTAAGTTTAATTATTCTCCACAAATTTTCCTATTCATGTTAAGCCCCAAGTTGAATGAAACTTCTAACACTGTCTTATAAAATACTTGCATCGTTAGTTGAGGTGCCCAGAGTGAAAAAAGGGAGGGAAGTAGCCTTTCTCAAGAATTGCTTCAATGACCTTTACGTCTGAGTGTCCTGCACATCACACAAACACCCCATAGTACCTGGGAGTCAAGAGCCAGTCAGCAAAAGGGAAGATCCATCCTTTAGATTCCTGGCTCCTACTTGCAATACAAGTTTTTGGATAGCTGTACTACTCTCAGTCACTACACTTCACACCTCTGTTCCCAGAAGCGTCAACAGCTCCCTGGATTGGTAACAGATGTTCTGTACACATTCTTTACATAAAAGTTGGTATGAAGGCAGCATTAAATATTGCTTTTTCTGAGCTATTACCAGTTTCAGTCTTGAGTTTTCAGGTAGTTATTACATTGTTTACTCAGTTTGGTATGCCCACTTTGCACCAATCAGACTTCCACCTCTCATCCAAATCCCACATCAGGCCCCATTTCTCTTAAATCTTCCTTTACTCTAGCTTGTGTTACTCTCCCATCTCCAGTACCATTTAATGCCGACATTAGTATTCCCAGCCTTCACTGTTATCTAAATGTTTTATCGGCTAGTTTTAGTTACAGAACTACATTACTAATTTCAATTTGCCATAGGTCTTGTTATACCTATCTTGCATATCATTCACAGAAGCTAGGTCCTCAGTGAGTGGAGATTTATTTTTATATATACCAAAACCAAACCCCACTACTATCAAGTCGATTCTGACACATAGTGACCCCCACTGGGTTTCCAAGGCTGTGAAAATCTTCCTCCCACAAAGCAGTTGGTGGGCTTGAACTGCTGACCTGCTGGTTAGCAGCCAAGTAGCTTACCCACTATGCCATCAGAGCCCCTTGTGTATACACACACAGAATTACCATCAAGTCAATTTTGACTCATAGTGACCCTATAGAACTGCCCTCATAAGGTTTTCAAGGCTGTGATTCTTACAGAAGTCACCAGTGGTGCAGTGTTTAAGCACTTGGCTGCTAACCAAAAGGCTGGCAGTTCAAACCTATCAGCCGCTCCATAGAAGGACGTTGCAGTCAGCTTCTGTAAACACTGCAGCCTTGGAAACCTTATGGGGTAGTTCTACCCTGTCCCATAGGGTTGTTAAGAGTCAGAATCAGCTCAAGGGCAACAGGTTTTTCTCAATCTTTACAGAAACAGACTTGTCACCTAACTCTGGTAGAGTGGCCACTGGGTCAGAAAGGCTGACCTTTCCATTAACTGCCTAGTGCTTAACTGCTGTATAACCAGTGCTATATTATAGGAGATAATAGCCAACTACTGAATCAAAGAAGGGAGGTGATGGATGTGGCACATGAGAAAGTAGGGGCAAAAACTGGGAATAGTCACTGAAAATTTTTCTACTTCTTTCCCACAGGTCAGTTCTCAGGTAGGTCACAAATTGAGAAAACACATCTGTAATGTTTATCTTGGTTTCCTATCTTTAATTTTAATCTCTGTGCAAATACACATTTGACCAGAGGTGAGTTCACACAGGATAGCAAATCTTAGATTTGCCTTTTCAATTTACCATTACAACTAATCATTGTTCCATATTTCAAGGTCAAAATTGGCATCCATTTTGAGAGCTGCATATTTTATCAAATGGACATACCTTCATTTACTCAACCACCCCCTCTGGAAACATAAGGCATCCCCCCTCCCCATTTCATCCCACAACCACCAATTATAACATTTTTTGCCCTCATTTCATATTATTCCTCTGCAAGATTCCCAGAAGTGGATTTAGTAGGTCAAGAGGTCTAACACTTTTAAGATTCTTATGTCACCAAATCACCTCAAACAAAGTATAAAAGTGTAATTTATCACACCTCATACCCTGACCAGCACTGGGTAGCTTCATAAAAATATTTGTGACTCTGATAAGTAAAGGGTTTCTTTTTCCCCCAGTTTATTTTGTATTCATCAGTGAAGTCTTAACATTTAAAAAATATGTATATTGGCAATTTATACTTCAGTTCTTAACCTAGGCCCATTTATCTGGAGTTGGTTCTCAGTGATTTTACCTACTGACAGCTTTATATATTAAGTTATGTCCTATTTTGGTAAATATTTCCCCTAATGTTTTCTTTTATAATGTCAGAACTTAAGTTTTTTCCCCAAGTCTTATACAGTCTGATATAGTTCCTTCCATTGTTTTTAAGTCTAAAAATTATGATATCTTCATGGATTTGTTTTAATGCCTTAATCCACCTAGAATTTATTTTGCAAGCTATGAGCTAACAAAAATTTTCTCTCAAGTAATTAAATTTTGTGACACCATTTATTGTGTACTTTTTCCTTTCTATACCTATGAATACCAAGTCATAAAGAAAGATGTGGGCATTCTCCCCTTACCACCTCCCACCCCCACCTCAATGTATATCCTCTGAACAAACTGGTATGTATTCCTTCAAAAATTTTATATGCATATGCACACATATAAATACACCTTTAAAAATCAAATGCTATGTTATGTGTGTGACTGTATCATATGTATTCATAATTTGTTCTGAAAAAGAGGAAATATAGTTCTCAGTACCTTGCTTTGCTCTTTAGGATATTATCATGGCTATCTTTCCATCTCAGCCCATACCTACTGCATTCTTTTTAACACCTTTGTATTATTTACTTTTATTTATCATAGTTTACCCAGTCCCGTATCAATGAACATTCAAGTTGTTTCCAACATTTCATTATTTTAAAAAATGCTGTGATAGCACAGCTATATTAGAACATTAGGCTAAGTATTTCTGAAGAATCTGTTCCCAGAAGTGGAACCATTTGGTGAAAGGATTTGCTTATGTATGTTGTTGTTGTTGTTATGTGCCGTCGAGTCAGCCCTGACTCCTAGCGACTCCTCCTTGGGTTTCCGAGGTAGTATCACTACGGAAGTAGGATTGCCCAACCTTCCTTCCGAGGAGTGGCTGGTGGGTTTGAACCGCCAGCCGTCTGGTTAGCAGGCAAGT